ATAAAAGAATATAACAAACCTTTTAAAATCGTATTCAAAATTTCCTCACTTTGAAATATAGGGTCGTCCTTTTTTACTAATTATTTTTAAAAAACTAGAGTGAAGAAGAAAGAGAATACACGTTGATAGTGAATCAACGAACAAAAATTAAAACCTAACAACGGTTCATTTATTCTTAATTTCTTCTTGCCCTAAAACATGTGGTTGCTTCGTGTGTGTTGCCCCGATTTGTTTAAAACCACTAATAGTGTGGTCGGTAGATACGCGGATCTCGTTGGACGGCGTGGATTGGATTTGGGTCAATGCGGACGAATTTTGTATGCTTTATTAATTTGAGGGTTTTTAATCATTATTTATTTTTTAGATACTAATGAAAAAATAAACAAATCAATCAAATTTATTAAATTTTTTGTAATAAGTTATTGATTATATTTAAAAAGAATGTGTCTATTATTATTTTTAAATATTTAATATTATTTTTATTTAAATAATTTTTGTCTAAAACATCTTTCTTTCTTATAATTTATATAAGCATTTTATATAAAAACATTTTAAATAAGAGTGAAAAACAGAAGCAGAAGAGTGGTAAATAAACACTTCATTTAATCGCTATTCTTAAAATATTAGTTAATGTTTGTTTTAGTTTAATCAAGAAATTAATAAATAAAATATCGTGAAAGTATAATTGTTTATCATTAGCTCTAAAACTAATAATTTTGCTTGCCGTTTTAGCACTAATTAATGTGTTAAGTCTGAACAAGTCACCGACCCACCGCAGATCTTGCAAAATCTCTGTGTGTTGCAAATCTTGGTGACAATTTCGTTTGGCCCTCTCTCGTTTAACTATTAAGTCCTCACTTTAGCTAATTTAATATACATTTTTCAATTAAATGGTTCATTAATTGATTAGATACATTAATTCATGCCACGAGATTAAAGTTGGCAAAAAGATTCTTTTTATTTTCAATCACAACTAGCCAAACACGTCCTTACATTAATGCAAATTGCAGTCACAGAATTAATAGACAAACATTATTAATTAGTCTCTGACAAATCATAATTAATTAGGAATTTTCTGGTAATACCCTAATTTAATTGTTTGTTGTTTAATTTGTTAATCGAAATCTTCCATAAATGCATATAACTCGGGCCTAGTTGATTTACGTATATTCCATGTACGTTACCACCCATAGTGCAGCATGTCTCTTAATTTGGGTATTAATTTGCGACTGGCTCTGTAGGGACAAACATCACCAAATGAAGAATATCTTCAATTTCTTCTTTCAGCAGCTCAAGAATCATTTGATGATGTAAAATATATTTTTCAAAATTGTTTAATTTTTTTGTTTGGATTTAATGATATAAAATTGACTAGTGAATTTGTGTAACTAAAAAATTTTCAATTAATAAAATAACTAGATTTTATAATTTTTTAAAATGCACTTACATGCAAATAAGTTTCTAAAATTTTATTTTTTTTACCTAAAGTATAATAACAATAATCACTGATAGTATTCTGTAAATTATTTATAGTTAATAGTGTTATTTATTGTTGGACACATATTGACCATAAAATTTGAACACTTATATCTTTATAAAATCTGAATTAAATTTTTACAATTAAACTAATTTTCATTGGCTGAGTATAAGGTAATCTGATCAAATAATGAAAATTACTTCTAATAAAATATTACAATTTTTTCATTCTTTAGACATAAGGTTCGTGCTGGTCAGCTTTTGGGAAGGTCTGGGTACATCTATCTTTTACAAACACAATTATGTTGAAACGAAAAATATTTATAAAATACAATTAACTTTATTAGTGATAATTTTATTTTCATACACAACATTTATATTTGAGATGTTATTGAAAAGAAGTTAAATATAAATTATATAAACTAATATACAGAAAAGGGTTATCCTCAAGGTTCATGAAGATAAAATAAACTGGAGTTATATTTTATTTAATAGAAGCTTATCATGTCACATGTTGGGGTCTAAGCTGGTTTTAGTTGTTAAGAGTAGAAAGCAATGAAGTTCAAAGCCCTACGGCTACAAACTACCCCTTTTCTATATGAGCTGTCTTTACAGCAAAAGGTTTTTCCTTCGTCACGCTCCCCTGTATGCACCGTATTGGTTGAATTTGTAAGTTTTGAGAAAATTTTATTTTGTTCTAAATATGATAATGTGAAAATAATATTCCTGTATTTTCAACCATAAAAACTTGTATCAATATTTAGTTAATATATAATCTAATAGTTATAAATGAATTGAATTGAATATTAAATATACTCCTTAGCAGTGGGGCTCCATTCAATGACCAAGGGACCGTGCCGTTTTCCTGTTTTTTTTTTTAACAGAAGAATACGAAACAGAATGGAAAACACAATTAGAAAAAGAAAATAAATAAAAGTAAAGGAGCGCGAGGGTCCATTGCTATGAAAAATTTGTATTAATCTATAAATAAATAAATAATAAAAAGGAGCAGAGATGCAGAATATGATAGTGTGAAGGCAAACTTCAATGTCTGGACGCTCGTTACTTTGTGCATTTCTGTTTATTTATTTAAATGCTTTTGTCTTTATAAATATTTATTTATTTTCTGAATAAAAAATTATTAGTATATAATTCTTAGTAAAAATGAGCAAAATTCAATTCTTGTTAATAAGTAAACTATGACATTTTTTTAGAACGATAATGATTATATTTTGAAATTTTAAATATTTCAAATTAAATACTAACATTTTTTATAAAATTTAATTAAAAAATATTTATAGAGACTTAATTTTATTTGAACATTCTTTTTCCTCATGGAAGTGTTCGAATATGCGAGTTCAATAACTTGTATGTTCCTTGGAACAGTTAGAAGGATGTCTTTTTTTGTTTTGAAAAAAAAAATGGAAGGATAGCATTTTATCCTTATTAGAACAATCACAAGAAAACAAGTATCACTTAAGGATGACGATACCTTCACAGATTTGAAATTGATGTTGTTTGAATGGAAATAGGAAATAGATAAGAAGAAAAGAGAAAAGAAATATGAATAATTTAATATTAAAAAAAGTGAATGAAAATAAATTGTCAGAGAAAGAGCCTATAAAAATATTATATTATATTGATCACTTAAAAATAAAATATAAAAATAATAATTGTTTTTTAGCTCATATAATATAATGAAAGCAATAACAAGAAAAATGTTCAGGTATCATTATCTTACTTTCTTTATCAATATAAAACAAAAAGAGAATTATCCATTTGGGGAAAAAAAAGGATGTGATTATTTGAAAGAAAAAAAAGAAAGAAAAACTCTCTGACAAATTCTGTACATTGCATTTTAATAATATTTAAGTCAAAATATTTATATATCTGAATTTTTTAAATTAATATTTTTTGAATTTGTATAACATTATATATAATAAATATTTATGCGTAATAATTTTTTATTAAAATTTATAAAAATTAATACTAATATAATTAAAATTTTCCGTGTCCAACAAAAAATTATTATTTGATTAATATTTTGCAATATGAAAAATTTTGTTATATTAAATTTATTAAAGAGCAAAGACTGGCTACTCGAAAGAAGAATAAATTGATCTTACTTTCACACTACTCTCTTTCTTTGTTTCTTTTTTATATAAACATATTTTTTTAACATATTTGATACTCTCATTAATGTATTATTACTCTCAAATTACACTCCAATGAATAATTATAATTTTATCAAAGTTCTAACATAAAAAAAAGTGTAATTTCGTCAAAATGCATCATATAGCATGCACTTGTAATAACAAGGTAGAATCCGGAGAAAGGAATTGTAAAATAAATAGCATGCAGGCAAGTTAGAATGTCAAGTGCAAAAGGGGTTAAGGGAATAAATAATCACAATCAGTCCAAAGAGCTCTCTGAGATGACAAATTACGAAATCATGAGGTTAGTGCACAAATGAGATGCGTGAGTTAATGTTAGGGTTAAGAGGCCAAAAAGAAGTTAAAAAATATGAACGGGTACTATGCTTTACAACTAAAAAAATGTCCTTCAAATATAAAAAATGAGGACACAGAATCTTAAAGTAATCGACGTAAAAGAATAAACAATTTTTTTAAGGATAAAATGAAAAAACAAAGATTCTATCTATAAGCAGCACTGATTTACTTCTTTGACTGAAATTCTTATAGCTTGCACTAGAATAACTGAAACAACACGGCTAATTGCTGTAAGAAACGTGTAGCCATGAATCATTCATTTTAGAAATATTTTCCTGTACATACATTTTTTTAAAAAGTTTGAATAAACTAAAATGCGTAAACTTATGGTGTGTTTGTTTAAGTGCATATTTGGAGTGGAAGAAATTAAGGAGTAGTTTTGAGTGAACATGATGTTCTTTTATTTGAATGCTCTAATTTGTTTTGTTTTTGTATATATTCAAACATCGTGATCATTAATTTTTTTTATATTTATATATATTTTAATGTTTATTGCATTATTTGTCCAAAGAAACCATTAAAAAAATGTGGGAAAATAAAATTATTCCATTTCATAAAGATCCTGTCCACCTTTTAATGTTTAAAAGCATAGCTTGTTCAATGTATGAGATAAAGATCACATGCCAATTTGTAAATTTGCTCCCTTTTAAACCATCACCTTGCATTGACCCGGCTATTTATTGGTAAACCAAGAAAAATCTCATAGGTCCATATTAAATTGGGGAAATCATGCGTTATTCCGAATCAGTGACCCATTCATGTCATGGCGCTGGCAAAGTAAAATTGATTAGCAGATAATCTTACTATCCACACAAAATATTTATCTTTAAAGAAAAAAAAAAAAAGGTCCCAAAAATCATAAATATATATAAAAAAGGGAAAGGTGTAATAAAGAATGGGACCCACGACGACACACGGCCCTTGACAAAGGGGTGTTATTATTGTCCCTCTCTCACTTGTGTTCCCACAGGATGGCCTTAAGGGACACCTTGGCCTTAAGGGACACCTAATCCTGAGAGAGGCATAGAGAGAGATTTTAGGGAACCTTGTATGAACCTACCACCACTCTTCTCCATTCACATTCCTTATTCTTTCTTTCCTCACTTCACCCTCCCAAACACTTATACCCAATTCCTATCTCTCTTCTCACAATTATGTTTTTAGATAATTTACAGTAAATTTTTGAAAATATTGCATTTAAATTTACACTGTTGCCCACATCACATCAGAGGACCCCTTTATAACAGCGGGAGAACCTCTTATTCTCTCAATCCACACAAACACGACACGAGACACCGCTCTTCTCTCCCTCACACTCTCTATTCATTCACAATTCACAATTCACAAAGCCCAAATCAGAGTCAGAGAGATAGAGAGAGATGGGTTTGCAAAACCAATTAAACGACGTGTCGTCGGGTTCGATTCCGCTGCTGGTGTTGGCGCACATAGCCACCTGCGTCAACTACCTCCGCTCCATGCTCCTCGCTCTCCTCCAATCACTCGGTCTCTCCAGATTCCACACCGACCAGATCGTCGACGACAGCTTCTTCGCCGCCGTCGGATCCGGCCTTGCCGGACTCATCATGCTCTCCGATCAGCTAACCCTCAACAACCAATTCTTCTACAACGGCACCGCCGACCACGACTGCGTGGTGTGCCAGACCACTTTCAACGACGGCGACCACGTTCGCATGCTTCCCTGTCGCCACGTCTTCCACCGCCGATGCTTCGATGGCTGGCTCCACTACAACTTCAACTGCCCCCTTTGCCGGTCACCACTTTTCTCCGATGAGCGCGTGGCTCTCACGGAGCGTCGCCTCGGTCGCCAACTCGTCTCCTGGTTCTCCCTCAGCTGATGCGACGTCGTTTCCTCACTCCATTTTTCCAATCTTCTACTATCCCAGTTTTACCCCTTTCGCGGTGCTCTACACTCCTTTTTACAGAGTTGGTCCGGTTTTAATTTATTTTCCTTTTTTCTTTCTCTAATTATTAGGATTTTTATTTCTTTCGTAGGGTACTAGGGTAAACTTCTTTTTTTTTTTTTTTTTCTAGAACAGTATTTTTGCTGAAAGTATTTTTTGAAGGGCTCTCTACTGTGTGAGAATCCTTTTTGAGCTGCTGTAAATTTTGGACTCCTATGTGTGTATGGGTAATAATTGGAGATGTTAGGAAGTTTATGCTAAATTTCCATAACTGGATATATTACTCTTTTCTTTTTTCAGTTACCTTTTTATTTTTTGACAAACGAGAAACCTTTCTATAAGTATTGGAGACTTCCTTGTTCACCACTATTTCTTGGGGAAAAAAAAAGTTATTGTGGAAATTAAATAAAAAAGTCAAAGGGCAAGTTGTAGTAAATATGGCATTGGGGACCTGGGGTATATCTAAACCGGCAAAGAAAATTAGAAAATGATATACATATATATACGCTAGTATAAATTATCCAATCATTGAGTCCTAATGAATTTTCTTTTGTTGAGTCTTCTGCGGCTGTCCGTTAACTTTATAATTAATCATGATTAAAATATGATACTTCACTTGTTGGAGAAAAAAGAGCACGTAACGATTTGTTTTAATGATAGTTGATCCTTGTGTGTGGATTAGAATTTGAATTGAACTCGAAATTAACTGGGGGGAAAAGCTGGAAAGTTTTTATGGGTAGCAGAGTGTGAAATTTGGTTATTGATGAAGATGAATGACTTATATTGAGGTGGAGAAGATGGAGTGGCAATTTACAATTTCCAACTGGGAAAGGGCTGTGTTGAAGAGTTAAAGTTAAGACTTCAGAGGTCAGCATGCGGCGCAAGTCAGTGCGTCACGACTAAAAAGTGAGTGAGCTCTGTCAGAACGACTCAAGACTAAGTTAGCATCTTCGTTTGTTGGTTTAGTTTTAAAGATTTTTAAATATCTCTACTTTAGCTTATATGTTCATAATCAGTGTTCTAAGAATGCTGTGTAAAGATTTTTAAATATAATTTTTTTCATAATTCTTTTTCTCTTTTAATTTGCTAACCAGTGTTCTAAAGTCACTTAATTAACAAGATGATTTTTTTTATTTTAATTATTTTTATTAAATAATATTTTTTATTAAATTGCAATCAACAACGTGTCTCCTCCTAGAGATTTAATTTAAACAATAAAAAATAGATGCAAACGATTAAAATTGTACACAAATTAAAATATAGAAAAAAAAACCAAGGACAATAGCGATAATCATATAGTTTAATTTAATATTTATATTAAATTTAATTTTTTGGTTTAATTAAAATTATTTTGAAATATTTGAGAATAAAATTTAAGCTTGTCGTATTAAAATTAAAATATTTAGTCAAATAATATCATATGTCAACTCGTTAAACATGAATAACTTACATGTCAGATAAGCTAGGCTTTTTAACTAAAATTCGGAATTCAATAATTTCTTTTTGAGGAAAAGTTATTTATGTTGACAGCAAGTAAAGCCAAGGGATTTGGACAATTTTCCAACAAATGAATTTTCTACACGTTTAGACACAGTAGCTATTGTGTATATTAATTGATGCTTTAAAAGTGTTTATCTTTAAGGAAATATAATCCCACATAACTTATGGAGTTTGTTGGTGAACATTTTCCTTGATTTTATAAAAATTAAGACGAATTTGATCCCTTATATGAATAAAACTTCAAACTGGATGATAATTGATGCCTTGTTTATGACGAATCTAAATATCATGAGCAGCAATAATGATCCAGATTGTGAAGGGTGGAGAGATATAGGACCATTCACCCTCTCTTGTTTTCAGTCTTAGCTGTTCATTGCTCAACAAATTAAAGGAGGCTGCTGCCGAATGGAAACAAAAAAAGTATATGTACTTGCCATAATCTCAAATCGTATCTGCTCATTCGAAACTAGAGATTTTCCATTTCTGACATGTTTTGCTTTCATGTAAAACTTGAAATTTATCTCTACAATTATCAAAATTTAAGTTTCCTTAATTAAAATTTTAAGTACAACCTTAAAGAACAAGAAAAGTAGTTTCACGAGTAGTAGAAGACGAAGAATTAAAACTATTTTGAAAAACAAAATGCTAGACAAAATTTGGCATTAGTTGGCGTGGCATCAAAATCAAAATCAGAAATTGGTGGCGTTGGAGCAACTAGAGGATTTCAATGGGAAGCTTCTTTGATAAAAAATAAAATGGGGTTAAGGTGGTTGCCGTAGCAGAAAATGTTTCAAAATAATTACGACGATTGCTAAGTTTGAATAGTTTTGTCGAATTGGGGTCCCCAACACAAAACGCCTCTCCGTTCCATCGCTCTCTCAATTTTTGTTGTTTGCTTGGTTTTAGAATGGACCCAAAACGTTGCTTAAGCCACCGTCGTGCAACTTTCGTAGAAGAAATGGACTGTCATAAAAGCAGTCCACAATTCTTCTCTAATTGCATTGTCAATATTGTTATTAATCACATGGTCAATTTTTTCTGTATTTTTTGTTCATTCCCGTCCATCTCCTGCTTACCAAATTAAGGAAATAGGAGTTCAATGCCAAATAAAATTCGTGAAAGATGAGATTCTACCTTTGACACCCTTCACTTCGCATAATGCTCATCGTTATCGTCATTAAATATATATCATGTTACTCTCAACCATTTTAATTATTGCCATACTTTATACAATCGTCAGCAAAATTTATTATTTCATGTGCCTTTTAACTCTCCTAAACCATTTTCAAAGGTTATACCAAATTAAGAATAATATAATATTCACTAATATCCTCTTAATTTTAACACTCTCCAAATTAAAACTCAAGAATCATTTCCTGGTTACGTGCCCTGTTTGCCCGCGCGTGCTGACTGTCCTCTGTGATTCATATTATGCCTTGCATATCTATGCTCATATTTTTGTTTATATTTTATATTTTTAAAGTATTATCACTCGAATTTAGTTAATCTCAATAGAAATTTGAATTAAATTTTGAAATATTGGGACATCATATTAAATTGAAGATATTTATTTTTCTGAAGATAAACTAAATTTTAAAACTATTAAAATCTTTATTTCCCCGATCATATCCCATAGCGGGCTTCATAATTTTCACAGTATGCTTTCACTTTGCACGTCACCAAGAAGCTTTCTTTTCCTTACTAAAATATCTGAAGATCAAAAGTGAAAAAAGTGCTCTCTACAGAAAATATATAGACAAATCCCACTTGTTATCAAAAGTAATATCTTAATATGCATTTTGTAGAAGATAATCGATGATGGAAGTTGAATGGACCATAATCGATCGATGATGGCGGTTGGAAAATAAAACAAGTCAAAGTGATTATAATGCGGAGGACAGGTGATGCAATAACGTACGAACTTACTTAAGACTAGGAGCACCACTTCAAAAAATTAGGTAAGGTGTAGTTAATTTGGATAAACCTTTTAATGAATAATTATAAAAAAAATTACATTAATTTTTAGAAGGTTACAATTAATTTATAAACATTTTTTAAATTAATCAGGAATTATAAATTAATTTATAATAAATACTATCACACCATCTCAGATTAGGATCGCATGGACTACTTTTTCTACATTAGAGATAAAACAAATAAACCATTACATGATATGACCATACAAATGTGTTTTCACACACGTAATAGTTTTATTAAACATGCTACACGATATTATGTAACAGCACTAATGCACTCTAACGTTGAATAACTAACTCAAACCTATATATAAAGAAGTTTTCTTAAAATATTTATTTTTTTAACTTCATTTATACTATAACTTAAAATGACTTTTTAACTTAAGCATCTAAGTATTTTTTATAAAAACACTATCACCTGCAATATTACAAACACTTTCGACCACTTTAAGCAATCATCTGTATTGAAGGAATCTCTATCACCGTTATTTCCTACAAAAAAATAATAATTTAATTTTAAAAAAATGAATGCATTTAAATTAATTTTAACTTATTAAAAATTTTAATTTATTATATCCTTTATTTTTTTTCTCTTATAAATCGTTGTTAACAAGTTTATCCAAGGTGGACATAAATCAAAGATTGGCTTGGCATTTCATTATCATTTTTCGATCATAACGAAAGCGAACAGAGTAAGGTAAAATTCACGGTGGGTTGCTCCTTTTTGAGAAGTGGCCTCCGTAAATTTAGTTTGGGTATTTTCAATAACCACTCTTTTTGGTTGCCATAAGCAAGATTGTCACCACTTGAATATCCCAAAGCTGTCACTGCTCCATAATAATTTCGCTGCCGATGCAATATAACTATCGCTGTGACCACTAAGGTGTTTCTAAGAATTGGGTTTTAGGAAAACAGTAACTTATAATAAATATATTTAATTCGAATATTTTTAAAATAAATAATAAATAATAAATTAATATAAGCTTAAATTTTTAATTTTCCACTTTTTTATAAATATTTCATGATTTTTTAATTTAAAAGTAAAATTTAATATTTTCTGTTTTTGTCAACACTTCACTCCCAAATAATGGGAAGGCAGATCTCTCTGTTCCTGCGATGAAACTTTGGGAAGAAAGGAACTCATTTTATTTTTTTCAATTTTTCTCCAAAGAGAAAGGAGCTCTTTCAATCTTTCATTTTTAGCTAAAGCTCTGTTATAACACTTATTTGGGCTTGATTCAATTGGGCCAGTATTTTTTTAAGTGTCCAATTTATGAGAACAACGGTTGATTAATTCAACTTTGATTGAACTGAAGTCGAATTAGTGATAATTACATATATATTATAATGTATTAAAATATTTAATAATAAATTAACATAAATTATAAGAAAAACATTTGAAATACAATTTTAAATGAACACAAAAGGATCACATCGTATATCTTATAAGATAAACATTTGTAATAAACAGTTAAATAATAATAATTAATAAATAAATCTCATATGAATTTTTATTTAAAAATTACAATGAAAGTATTTTTAAAATTGAAAAAAATTATAAATTTATCTGTTTAAAGTACATTTTTGAGTTGATTTTTTAATTAATTTTGGTATATTTGTGATAGTTTTACTAATTATTATTATTATTTTAATTCTTTAGATTGTGTGAATTGGTGTATAACCAATTATCAATCTGACTAGTCAATCTGATTCAATTTTTAAATTAATGATACACACATCCTTCCAAGTTTTGATTAGGTATTGTAAAACTTAAAAAATGATATAGAAAATAACTGACAA